GAAGGGACAAGGCTAACCTCTGTTGTATCTCTTTTTTTTCACCTCTTGGGTCAAGAACACCTACAGATACTAAAGCATGGTTTTACATTACACTTTCTTTTTAATAAGGAAAAAAGTGTTTCCTAAAGATAGGTTGACAAGGCACGTGGTGAATTTCCAAAATTAACTGTGAAAGGAAGATCATCTGGGCATGACTGAAAGCCATATATAACCTTTGTGCTCACATAGCTCATTTCAAAAATGTCACTTTCTGCTTATTAAACGCTACTGTCATTATACTATTTTAAGCATTAAAACTTGTGTTCTGGAGCTTAACAGGAATTATTGCTTCTATCTTTGGGCTTATTAGAAATAATTTAAAATGTATTCAAGAGTGATGAAAATCACCTTTTTATTATGGTTGAATTTGGTTAAATGTTGAAATTTGCAGTGCCATTTTATTGTCTTTTATTAGCAATATTTTAGCATCTATGTATGTAGCACAAGACTATTTTTAAGTACCTTATAAAGAAGTGGCATTTTAAATAAAATGGTTTTTAAAAAAATTTTTTAAGTTCCTAGAATGAGGTTAAGTTGGAATAAATTATGGGACAATGTTGTCTGAAATTTCATAGTTTTCTTATATAGATACACTTTTAAAACAACACCCATGATAGTGACAGTTGAAACACATTTTCATTGTTATATAAATTATTTACTCAATATTTGCACTAAGGTAGAACCAGATGATTCATGGAAAATGAAAAGAAAAATTAGTTTATTGGAAACAAATTTGTTTCCTCCTCTGATTTACCACAAAGAACCATGAAATTACAAGGATGGATGTCAGGGAATGAAAAGCAGATTTTTTTTTTTAAAGAAGCCCCTGCCCCCATATTGAAAGAATGAATCTGTTAATTCATCCTGATCATCTATAATTTACTGAAGTGTCTATTCTCGAAACATCTTCACACCCTCATTTCATTTAATTAATTTATTTATTTATTTTTGAGACAGAGTCTCTCTCTGTCACCCAGGCTGGAGTGCAGTGGTGCCATCTTGGGTCACTGCAACCTCTGCCTCCTGGGTTCAAGTGATTCTCCTGCTTCAGCCTCTTGAGACAGCTGGGATTATACGTATGCACCACCACACCTGGCTAATTTTTGTACTTTTAGTAGAGATAGGGTTTTACCATGTTGGCCAGGCTGGTCTCGAACTCCTGACCTCAAGTAATCCACCTGCCTCTGCCTCCCAAGGTACTGGGATTACAGGCGTGAGTCATTTTACCCCACACTCACACCTTCGTTTTAAAGTTGGATCAATAATAAGAAAAAGGACCGGAGGGGAAATTGATTGAACTTTATGAATCTGCTTGCATTAGGATCTCTTCACCAGCAGGGATGGGAAGAGGGAAGAAGCTTGCCTAGATAAAGAGGGATTCCCTTGGCAAGGCAGGCTAGAGACTAACTTCAGCTTGTGGGCTGAACAAGCAGAGCAGCATGAAACAGGAGTAAGTGTATCAAAACAAACAACAAACAGCAAACATCCAGAGAATGGGTCAGATTTAAGTAGTAAGTGCCTTCCACAAATTAGAAACCAGAGTCAGAGAGTCAGATCAAAAGAGTGAGCATGACAAGCCATGTGGAGGAAGGGTGCTCTTGGCCCATGTATGGGATGAGCATCTCTAGCTGTAGCCAGAATGTACTCTCTGTGACATAGTTGTAAAAGTTAAGGGAGGTAGGGGACAGGGAGCAGGAGAAACTTAAGGGGCTTGGAAAGAGTTGTTTAATTCTAAAATAACAAAGTTAGTTAAAGTTTTCCAATGCCAGAGGATGAAATTAAAATGTTCATTGTTCATCTGTAAAGGTCTTTTACATTAGGACTTAATAAATATAATGTTATATTAGGTAACTAAACTTGTTTTACTGTAACAAAATTAGAGAGTGGCTTAAATTTGAGAAATTTTCTCACAATTCTTGGGGCTAAAAGTTCAAAATCAAGATAGTAGCATGGTCAGTTTCTGGTGAGAGCTCTCTACTTCACTTGTAGACTGATTAGACTGATGCTTTCTCTCTGTTCTTATATGGCATACGCGCACACGCATGCACACACACACAGAGAGAGAGAGAGGAGAGAGAGAGAGAGAGAGAGAGAGAGAGAGAGAGAACTCTGCTGTCTCTTCTTGTAATCAGTCACATCATGAGGGTCCTACCCTCATGACCTCATCCAAGCCTAATTATCTCCCAAAGGATCTATCTCCAAATACCATCACTTTGGAAGTTAGGGCTTCAACAGATGACTTTTTTTGTGGAAGAATGGGGACCCAATTCAGTCAATAGCAACTGTCAACTCTGATAATCTCACAGGCACCATAAAGATGTTATATTTTGTTTCCCTTGTCATACAACATCTATACTTGGTTTGTCATTGAAATTGTTCATAAATGGATTGTCTAGATTCCTTCTCAATTAGTAGTTGTTCTACTTAATTCTAAGTATGCTGCATTCTGCAATAGAAACTTCTCTTTCTTAAATCATTTCATAGGTATAGAGGGGTTTTATTTAATTTTTTTCTGTTTCTTTTGGCAAACAAAATGAAATAGCATTTTCTCACAATTGGAGTAAATCCAAACATAGCTCTCTTCCATTCCAAAGGCCACCTTCTCATCTGTGTGGGAAAGAGAGAAGTTGTCGCCAATGTTGTTAATCAACTGTTGCTTCTCTGAATACCGTACCATGCCCAAATCTGCCACTGACAGCCTCACTACCTGGGAATCCCACACTGTAGTCTCCCATAAATCCAGTGCTGCTATCTAGGCATAGGCTTAGCAGATGCTTAAGTTCTTACCCTGTTATTTCTCTCTGCAGTCTATGTTGGAGTATCAGACTTTAGTGAAGGGTCAAAGATAATGAAAGTAAATTATAATTTAAGAGGGTGAAAAATGAAAACATAATTCTAAATGTGATTTTTCCATATGATGAAATTACCCATCTCAGGGACACACACTAAATTCTAGCCTTAGGTTAACCCTCCCTTCATAGAGCACCTCACTCTTCAGTCCTCTGCCCTCAAAGAATTCCCTCAACCCCACTCCATTCAATCCCTAGAACTCAATATTTGTAGAAAATAATTTCCCAGAACCTGTACTTGGTCTACAGTCATTTCTTGCTGTTGAAAATGGCAGGAAACAAGTTTCAGAAGAATAGTCTGGATGAGCTTTGGTTCTTCCAAGTCCTGACCAAAACTATGTCAACTTTGTTCGCTGATTTATAATTTTACTTTATTGGGGCTCAGACTTTTGTATATAATCTGATGACTTATTAAAATCGTATGAAAATTAATATACTGAGATTTCAAAACCAGTAAAATACATGCCAAGTTAGGTGGTACAAATTATTGGTTGCTTTGGGTCCCTCCTAAAAAGATTGCGTAACTTTCACCACATTTTGTCTCTAGGCTTTTTACTTTGGGCATTAAAAGACTTTACTGCTACAGCCCCCCTGGAAAATAACATCTAGTTCTACCCAGTATGGGTTAATGGAAATTCTAGACACATTACGAACCTTCCCCTCAAAAAGCTGTTTGGTTGTAGTGAGTAAAACCATCATCATAGGCACATTGGAACAAAATATTTGAAACAGGAGTGATCTAGAAAGGTGAAATACATAGTTGCTGCTAGAATATTTGATTGCTTCCCTGTTGCTGAAGGCTCGGTTGATGGGTGGAGCAGCCATCTAGCTTATCCTTAATCATTTTCAGCTCCTTTACCACATTTTAGTGAAAGTCTTCTATATAAATTAGGCCAGTTAAAGTTAAAAAAAAAAAAAGGGAAAATTCAGGTGTTTCACCATTTGTGCCTTGAGACCCTTGTCTTTAGCCTGTTAGCTCCTCATAGTCTTACAACTCTAAGCTGTACTGTCAACTCACACTATATGCTATCATCTTCTGTAAGCAACCACATTCTGCTACATTGCATAATAAAGATGATCTCTGTAAGCATATATCAACACAATGAGATAATGAGATAATAACAAGACTCAAGTACCTTCCTTGCATGCTAAACAATTGATTTTAGTCACAGGCATTTGCCAGCCTCTTCCATGCTATTGTATGGTGTCAGAGTTTGTGTTTTGTCAATAAAGGGTCTTCCAGCAGGCTGTGCAATGCTTTGGTACACATATCTGTTATGAGTTTCCAGAAGTTATTCTTGAAACTCACACATCATTCCCTAAGTTATTCTCTTCTAAAACTCTAGAGGGCATTCTGATGTGTCAGTGGAACATACCTAACAAATTCATTCCGAGACAGCACTTGGAATATCATAAGAGATCTTAAGAACAAAAACAGGCAAATGCACCATAATCAACAATACCTGGAGATTTAAAGATTAACTTGTCTAGCCTTATAAGATTTTCACATCAATTTCCCCTGAAACATCAGACCCATCTGTATGGAAGCTATTTATTTGAACCAAGACAGATTTTAAGTCTAGCAGGCTGGGAAATTTTTATCCTAAATGCAAGCAAGATGTGTTCACCTGCAAAAACCACATCAGTAAAAGGGTGCAATCTGTGTGGTATTTTTGACCAATAGTGCCAACAGAGACTCTAGTTTTTTTTTGTTTTTTTTGTTTTTTTTTGGTTTTTCCTCCTGCATTTCTTTCTCAATTCATGCAGGTTAGTTTTCACAAAATGTAGGATTGCTTTTATCCAATATGTTTCATCTGAAAGTTTCTATTTAGGCATTCTAAGGGAAAGGAGTGAACAGTCCTGGTTTTAATGCATTTATCAGTGTTAGATTATTAATATCAGTTTAAAGATGACTATTATTCCACCATCAAGTTTTGTAAATATGGAAAATGCTCGACTCTTTGGTTGATTTTTGCTCTGAACCTCAAACTAAGAATGAAGCTGTCTACCCCTCTGGTCTAAAGTTTATTGGAGTAAACCCACATGCAAATCATTTTTGAAAACTTTCCAGTTATACTCATCTATTCCACTACATTTTTTTTCTTCTTTTAGTGTCAGCTAAACCAAGACCCCACAGTGATGAATATTCCAAGAAGATTCCTCCTCCCAAACCGAAGCGGAATCCGAACACTCAGCTGAGCACATCTTTCGATGAAACGTACATCAAAAAGCACGGGCCCCGGAGGACGTCGCTGCCGCGGGACTCCTCTCTGTCCCAGATGGGCAGCCCCGCGGGAGACCCCGAGGAAGAGGAGCCCGTGTACATCGAGATGGTGGGGAACATTCTCAGAGACTTCAGGAAGGAGGACGACGACCAGAGCGAGGCTGTCTACGAGGAAATGAAGTACCCCATCTTTGACGACTTGGGCCAAGACACCAAATGTGACTTTGACCATCACAGCTGTTCTTCGCAGTGTGCTACTCCCACGGTGCCTGACTTGGACTTTGCCAAGGCCTCAGTGCCATGCCCCCCCAAGGGGCTGCTTTGTGACATCCCCCCGCCCTTCCCCAACCTGCTTTCTCACAGGCCCCCGCTGCTGGTATTCCCCCCCGCCCCCGTACATTGCTCCCCCAACTCCGACGAGTCCCCGCTCACCCCTCTGGAGGTCACGAAGCTTCCCGTGCTGGAAAACGTGTCTTACATGAAACAGCCGGCGGGGGCGTCACCCTCCGCGCTGCCGTCCCACGTCCCCAGCCATGCGAAACTGGAGAAAGAGCAGGCCGCGGCCCTGGGACCTGCCTCTGCCACCCCTGCGCTCTCCTCGTCGCCCCCGCCCCCGTCCACGCTGTACCGAACCCAGTCTCCCCACGGCTACCCTAAAAGCCACTCCACCTCTCCCTCCCCCGTCAGCATGGGGAGGTCCCTGACTCCCCTGAGCCTCAAAAGGCCTCCCCCTTATGACGCTGTGCATTCGGGCAGCCTCTCCAGGAGCTCTCCTTCAGTGCCTCACTCGACCCCCAGACCCGTGTCGCAAGATGGGGCCAAGATGGTCAACGCCGCAGTGAACACCTACGGGGCTGCCCCGGGCGGCTCCCGGTCCCGGACACCCACGAGCCCGCTGGAGGAACTGACCAGCCTGTTCTCCTCCGGCCGCAGCCTGCTGCGCAAGTCGTCCAGTGGCCGGCGCTCCAAAGAGTCTGCAGAGAGTAAGTGTGCAGGGCCTGCCTGAGCCCCAGAGCCCAGTGCCAGGCTTACAACCAGGGCGAAGTCCATTGTGTGCGGGTGACGCACAGAACACGGGGTCTTGAGGCCTTGGAGTTGAAATCTTAGCATGCAAAATGTGTTAGTTCACTTTTGCCGTGCTAAGTCAAATAGCGTATCCTGAAAGTATTAAAAATGGCAGTCTGCAAAATATACCATTTCCTATTTAAAAGAAGAGTGGTTTTGAAAAATAAGGTATAAAATCTAAATTCTTGCAGTGGTCCTGGAAAGTTGAACAGGGAAAATAGGGACCACTATGGAAGTTTAGGTATGTGCACACAACACCGAGTACGTGGTCTTGAGGCCTTCGAGTTGCAATCCTAACATGCAGAATGTGTTAATTCACTTTTGCCACACTAAGCCAGATAGTGTATCTTGAATGTAAGCTGAAAGAATTAAAAATGACAATCTGCACAATATAACATTTTAAAATAGGAAATGTTATATTCCTATTTAAAAGAAGAGTGTTTAAAAAAAAAAAAAAAGTAAAAAATCTAAATTCTTACAATGGCCCTGGAAAGTCAAACAGTGAAAACAGAGACCATAATGGAACTTTTAGGTAAATACCTTGATTTGGGGGCAGGGGGTTGGGGGGTGGAATTAAACATTCAAACATGCAATTGATAAATGTTAAAACTTAAAAACGCTTCTTAAGACCAGGCATGGTGGCTCACGCCTATAATCCCAGCACTTTGGGAGGCCGAGGCGGGCGGATCACGAGGTCAGCAGATCGAGACCATCCTGGCTAACACTGTGAAACCCCATCTCTACTAAAAATACAAAAAAAAAAAAAAAAAAAAAAGGTAGCCGGGCGTGGTAGCGAGCACCTTTAGTCCCAGCTACTTGGGAGGCTGAGGCAGGAGAATGGTGTGAACCCGGGAGGCAGAGCTTGCAGTGAGCCCCAGATCATGCCACTGCCTTCCAGCCTGGGTGACAGAGCAGGACTCCATCTCAAAACAAACAAACAAAGAAACAAACAAACAAAAAAAACCTTCTTGAGCAAATTCCCATTAGAAAACCTCTGTTGGAAAGAAAGCAGTTTGATTAGAATTTAGGATATTCTTTAACATAAAAAATGATTCTCTTTGTATACTTCATGTTCTTATATTTTTACCATTACTATAAATGAGAATAGGCCCATTGTTTTCCTTTTAAAAGTCATGGCGATTTACATCTTATTTCTGTGGTACTCTTCCTAGATCCATCAATATATAACTTACAGAAAAGTCACTAAGGTGGTGAATATTATTTTTACTACTGAATTTCAAAGACCAGGAAATTTATCTATCTGAATAACCCTTTTATGAGTCCCAAATCAATTCACAAGTGTATAGTAAAGTCAAAACAGACCCAGATTAGTTTTTTTTCTAAGTCCATTTCATTAAATTACATTTCTTTCTCTTATTCAAAAATTCCTTAGGCACCTAAGCTGATAATTAATCAGTTACATCTCAAATAATGCCTCCACACGATTTTTTTTTTATTTATCTGTTCATACAGTCATACTGAGAACTTTCCTTAAAGAAAAAGAAACCCTCAATACTTTTGATAATGAAAATGATAGTGGCATTTTTTAGATAATTAATATTTATTGATAGTTATAAGTTACTAATTTTTTTTTGCCTTCACCCAGAGACTTATGAAAATACAAGCTGCTTCAATAATTGCCCCCAAAACATTTTAATTGCCTAAGTGAAAGGCAGTCATTTCTAATATGTTAGGCATCTCTGGAGTTACATGCATGCATATGTACATACGTACATTAAAAAAACAGTTGAATTTAAAACTAGGAACAATCTATTTCTAGAGCAGTTGTCAACTAGGGCAATTTTGTACCCCAGGATATTTGGCAATGTCTAGAGATATTATTGGTGGTTACAACTGGGGGCATTACTGACATCTATTGGGTAAAAGCCAGAGATGCTTCTTAACAGCATATAAAGAAGAAGACCGACACCTGACCCCACACAGACACAAAGAATGATCTGGTCTACAATGTCAATACTGCCAAGGTTGTAAAACCTTAGTCTAGATAATTTACTAAAGTTTAAAGTTTCTTCCAGATATTTCATTGATTGATTTGGTTTTCACACAGATCAAATAAGGTATTTAGAATAAGAGAAAATATTATTTTAAACATTTTACTTTAAAAACACATAATGGGTATTGTGAAATTAACAGTCATTTCATCTTAGAATTGGTGAGACAATTGGATTTTCTCCCTACCTATCAGCTTCTTTGGAGGATCCTTAACAGCTCCAGCTGGCAGCTATGCCAATTAACTAGAAAAAAAAAAGTATATGCAAAAGAAATGATTAACTAATGAAGCTATTTCAAGAAAAATCCATCTGTTAGAATCAGTCTGTGTACTGTATGTCACAGACTTCCCCATCCAACTCCAAAAACAAGATTTGTGTACTTCTAAAACAAAGGTTGTACATGGAAGAGTGGTCAGGGCTCTTTATGGCTTTTAGGGAGCCAATGAGTGAATTATTTCACATGTGCTATTAACCATGCATCAACTCTGCAGAGAAAGGGATGCCCCTGAGTTACATTAACCTCAATATTTTACTTTACATATGTAAGGAGGAAAAATGCAGGTAATACAAATGAATAATAAAAAAATCAGATGGACAAATCAAATTGCTACTTATTTTTGACTCTCGGGGAAAATAGAAAGATACCATTAGATGCTGTCAAAGGGGCTCTCAGAATCTTTCCATAATGCAAAAAATAGAACCAAAATTGTTAATTGGGAATTAACTGGTAACTTCTATTGCAGTACACTCATGGATACAATTCTCTCCTTTACTCTTCCCAGAAAGGATTTGTGGACTTGTTGATACCTTAGGGATAGAATAAGTGATATGAAGTAGTATAACCTTTATGACCCTGAGTCTCATTATTCTTTTTAAGTTTCAGGAATTTTCTACATTTCAGGAATAAAAGTAAAACTGATTATTTTCCAAGTCTCTGTTGGTTTAGTGGAGAAGTCAGTTTTGAGAATTTCCTAATATTTAATCTAAACAAATATAGTCTGTGCTTTAATGAAGGGAAAGCATGTCAAATAAAATGTATACCTTAAACTCATTTATAATAATCTATAAAAGGCACACTGAATGTTTCAATTTCATGTTTTATTTATAATTGTTGATGGGGATTGGTCAATAGGGAAGAAATAAAATAAGACAAAGGTGGTAGATTATAAATAAATTTCATTTTGTTTCACAATTTTCTAAATATGGCCTTCACATTCATTATTATAGGAAGTGTTTTTTCCTGGTTGATGGGACATTATAATGTTTATCTGTGATTAAATTAGGACACCTGATAGTCACTGTAGCTCTAGTAGCTTTTTTATATGGTCATTATTATTAATGTATTTTTAAAAATTTGTGTAGAGGTGAATGATGTAAGGCATGTAAGAAGTGATCAACTCATATGCTATTGCTATAAATTTTTGTGTCCACATGGTAAGCAGGTCAGGTACAAATATGTTTTATAATGAACTTTGGAGGCTTAAATGAAAATAATTTACTACCTATCATTTTGATCTTTCTTTTGCATGTTTTTAAATATATTCTTGGTGATTTTGATTTGATTTTTTAGAAGATGTAGGTCATGAATGGGCCATTTCGTTTTAATAAATCTGGTGCCATGAATCATAGAAATTAATAACCAAACCAAATTTTAAAAGTGGAAAACTTTCTTTATTCCCTCAAACAGAAATATTTCTGAAAAGAAATGTTTAACCTGCGTATCAGTCCATTTTCACCCAGCTACAAAGAAGTGTTCGATACTGGGTGATTTATAAAGACACGAGGTTTAATTGACTCACAGTTCTACATGGCTGGGGAGGCCTCAGAAAACTTACAATCATGATGGAAGATGAAGGGGAAGCAAAGTCTTCTTTCACATGGTGACAGGAAAGAAAGAGCTCACGAGAGCAGGGAAGATTGCCTTATAAAATAATTAGAGCTTGTGAGAACTCACTATCACAAGAACAGCATGGGGAAAACCACCCCCGTGATTCAATCACTACCCACCTTGTCCCTCCCTGAACACATGGGAATTATGGGGATTGCAATTTGAGATGAGATTTGGTTGGGGACACAGAGACAAACCATATCAGCCTGTATTCAACAGAGATGGGGTAAATGTATATTTCTATGAAAAAGTACAAGATCTAATGAAGAACATAATTAAAATTTACAATCTATTTGAGGAAAACAGTGAGTTAGAGAAGTTATAAATGGAGAAATGTAAATTTAAAATGTAGAGAAAAAGTAGAAGATGAAGCAGCAAAAGAAGAGACTAAGGCACTAAGATACAAAAGACATGAACGCCCAGGGGCAGAAGGGCATGTGAACAGATGTGGGCACCAAGAAGTGAGGCGCACAGAAAGGGATTAGTCTTTATTGGAGATGTTTAAGAAAGCTAACAGGCCTTGATCCTGCCAGAACTTTTGCAATCTTCCTCATGGTATCCTCTGAGGTGTTTTTAGGTCTTTGTATAGCTCAACTCCTAAATACCTTTGAAGAATTCCAGAGTACAACAACTTCTAAATCTAGCCCCTAACTCTGGTCAGGTTGCTCCTTTCAGAAAGGGGCATGCAGAACAGGGCAGAAGGCATGGGGTGTAGTGGAGCTCCAGAAGTAGGGATGAAAACAGAGGTCCAGGCCCACTCATCTCCTGTCATTATTATTAAAAGAGAAATGATGTCCTGGTATTACCAAAAAATAAAAAATAAAAATAAATAAAGAAAAAAAGCTATGTCATACTCAACCATAGTGTACGTTATTGGAGATTCATAAATTTTAACTATTAAATCTTATCTTTTAGCCTTTAAAAAGTATTTAATACTTTTTTTTTTTGGATGAAGTCTCACTCTGTAGCCCAGGCTGGAGTGCAGTAGTGCAATCTCAGCTTACTGCAACCTCTGCCT